TGTACTCGCTAGGTGTGCGGTTTGAAACTTTTGAACCATTTCAGGAATTGTTCAAATATTTTTTTATAGACTACAGAGATAACTGAAACCTGAGATTACTGAAACCTGAGATAACTGAAACTGGAGATAACAGAAATTACAGATACGTGGATCCCACTGTACTTGCATCCATTCAGTGGCTTTCCTAGCCATTTTATTCAAAGCGATTTACAAGTTTTATACGCCAGGGCAATTTATATTTGGCTACTCATACAGCTCTGCATTTTACTAGAGAAATTGAAGCAGCTACCCCAGCTTCTCTCCTGGGACCTGAATCATTTAGGCTATGAGGCCAAGTTCTTAATCACAGTGTTACCTAGTGTGTTGCACCACTAAAGCAGGAAAAGATCAGGTTAGGGTCACCTGACCCTTTTCAGTGCAGACAGTGTGTCAGTCAGGCCCAGCATGCAGGAGGTGAGTGAAACATCACTCCTCTTTGTACCAGCTCATGCTGCACTGGCCCAAAGCAGCCATTTGTGGCAAATCCAGGGGCCACCTCAGGCCCCTACAACGGTCGTGCACACCATATCTGCGGGAGCATGTACTTTGGTGGGACAGCAAATTATGTTAAGGTTGAAAAGTTGAGTGATGTAACTAACACTCTTTGACCTAATAAGGAAGACGCAATGATGACAGACTGGCAACTCCATCCATCCGTCTGTCCATCCATCCATCCATATTGTTCATATATATATATATATATGAACAATAACCAACAACTTTATTAACTTAGCATTATTAAATGCATTTAACCATATGTATGGTCTACAGAAGGTAATATGGACTCTTTGCTGAGATTTTCGTGCATTTCGTGCATTGAGGCTGACATCCTCAGCATCAAACTCAGACCTCTTGTTCTTATAAAATTAATGTTTTAATAAGATCAGAATATGCAGATGCCTTGATAGCACTAATGAAATAGGGAAAGGGATACTATAGGGAAATACAGTATATGCAATTGCAGGAGAAACCACAAAAAACCTGAATGTTTGCTCTCCTTGCCGTGATGACAATTTAGATTCCAAAATGTCCTTGGTGGTAACCCCAGCCCTGCTCCAATATGCCCGAGCTCCCTGTGGCCTGACACCTGGCACAAACGCATCAGACGGGACTCTCACGCATTAAACATGCAATAATAAAACCCTTCCCGCAGTCCATTTTCAGATGGCTTCAATTTCATGCCTTGGTGCTCTCCGTATAAGTCTCCTGCCTAGACTGACCCTGTGAAGAGATCAGCTGGCTTATGTTTGTTTTGCAGGCAAAGCTGCGGTGTGCTTAGGTGGCTGAGTATGAAATGAGAGCTCTGATAAGGAGATGAGGGAGGCATTGGTACTGTAGGAAGATGAACTCCAGCAGTCAGAATCATCACAGGTGTTTCTGAGGAGAAGCTGGGAGTGAGACAGCTTCGCCATTTGCAGTCCAAGGTCAAATTAAAGGCAATTACAATATAGTATAAATTGCACAATAATATTAAAAAGAAAACTTTGAAAACTTTATTTAAACAATAACATTTCTTCAGTTGCCGAAAAAAAAATCACTACATCCTGTTCTTGGTCCTCATCACTTGTTCATTGGATAAAGCTGTTGAAAGCAATGACTGACTTTGTATATTTAAATATACCTATGTGGCAAATTTATAGAGTATATAAGTTAATACTTCGGGCATATCTGAACAGCAGTTAAAATCTGAATGCCATTGGGGTTCGCTAGGACTGGGATCGGTAGGTAACCTGCTCGAATCCCAGAGTCAGCAGAGAGATTTATATATATATTAGGGCTGTCAAAAATAACGGGTTAACGCGGATTAATCCATGATCATGATTAATCTGATTAAAAATTTTAACGCAATTAACCCATCTGCAGCGCAGAATGACTCAAAATCCCTGAAATGTCTCTGTCAACCCATTTCGGGCAGCTTTGGTGCGTTCCATTTGCCCTCGGGAACTCGTATTCCGAGTCGGATTCCAAGTTTTGAAGCCGGAAGTGACGACATGCGTGGTCCCGTTTCTTGGAAATCCGAGAAATATCTCGGAGCACCACAGACGAACCTGAGTTTAGAATCCACGATGGCTGCGCCCTTTATCAACAGAAGGGAAAGTTGTAGTTTTATACTGTTTAAGCACTACTTCTCATTTGTGGCTCATTAAATCGGTCGCACACACTATACCGTCCAACTTATCTGTGGACGTGTTGCTACGGAGTTTTAATGTGTTAACTGATATTGCTAACAATGGCAATTAACTGGGCTAGAATTGGATTTCATGGTTAGTCAGATTATTTGTTGGATTTACGGTAGTTCTGGCTAATTGTAAGTGAACGAAGATAAAGACCATTTAAACTGAGATACCTTAAATCCGACAAGTTGTCCGGCTAAGCAAAAAATGTTGCTTTTTGATATGGGTCCATGGTATTGCACTTCTGTGGCAGATGGAATGCATCCGACTTGTTCAAAAAACATGTTAAGTGCATATATATTCCCTTTTTTCTTGAGTGTTTGCTCATGCAAAATGAAATGCGATTAATATAGATTAAAAATGAATGATATTTAATCGTGATTAATCGAAATTAATCCACAGCAGCCCTGTGATTAATCTGATTCAAATTTTTAATCGTTTGACAGCACTAATATATATACACTCACCTAAAGGATTATTAGGAACACCATACTAATACGGTGTTTGACCCCCTTT